TAGCAGCATCCCCATGGCCCCGTGATCAAAATTCAGATGCCTGGCAACTGACTTGTATTTATGACAGTTGTATGTCCTCGGATCATGTGATCACCTTTTGCCACCTTCTGACAAGCAAAGTCAAGCAGGAAGCCAGATTCACTTAACAACCATGTTACTAACTTAACTGCACAGGTTCACTTAACAACAGTGGCAAGGAAGATTGTAAAACATGGCAAAATTCAACGGTCTTGTTCAGCAACAGAAATTTTGGGCTCAGTTGTAGCTGTAAATCAAGGACTACCTGTATGGAGAATTTACCTTTGAAAATCCTGAAATGCAGAACCTAATCCATATGTTGAATAAAAGATTTGACACTCTACAAACTAACTACTTGATAATCATTCAAGAAAGTTTAAAAAACTTTTTTTAAAAAAACCTACGAAGTCTAAAATCAAGCATCATTTTCCTTCAAATCTATCGCCTTCACTCATAAACAAATTCATGCATGTTTCTTTATCCAGATGACAGTCCTAATGGGGGTGTGCTTTAATCCTCATTCCTAGACCAAGGAGCCAGGCTCCACGAAAAGGCAGCTTCCGTTTGCCTCAGAATAGCAAGGCAAGACCAGTCTAGCTCCACCCCTTGACTTCATGAGAAATAATTCCCCATCTGAAATACTATGGCTTGCATCCAACTGCGACCAACCTGACACAGGTAGTCCTCAACATACGACCTGTTGTTGCGCCAGGCATTTATTGAGTTGTGCGCCATTTTGTGATCTTTCTTGCCACAGTTAAACCAATCACTGCAGTTGTTAAGTGAACCATAGGTCATTCAGCAAACCTGGCTTCTCCCATTGACCTCGATTGCCAGAAGGCAGCTGGGAAGCTTACAGATGGGCGATCACATGACCCCAGGATAGCGCAATTGTCATAAATGGGCGGGAGGGTTGACTAGATGACCTACAAGGTCCCTTCCAACTCTGTTAATCTATAATCTATCATCTAATCTATAATCTAAATACATGCTGGTTACCAAGTGCCTAAATTCTGATCACATGGCCACAAGGATTTCAACGGTTGTTAAGTGTGAAAAACGGTCATAAATCGCTCCTTTTAGTGCCGTTGTAATTTCGAGTGGTCACTAAACTGTAGTGTAAGTCAAGGACCACCTTGTAGTTGCCAAACAGATCACAGGTAGGCATCGGGCCCGTTCATCAGGTAAAAGACTTGTGCATATGGCATGACAGACAACGTTGGGAAAGGGGACACCATACAATTTGCTATAAGCGATTCTGGTTTTAATCAAAAGCTGGGTTATGCTTCTAAAAATAAATGAATATATACTTGTTATTTGTAGGCATGGATAAAGACCTATCAGCCAGGCATAGTTCCCAGCAACTGGTCATTATCCGTCATCTACTCACAACCTGTAATTTATGATAGCACTTTAGATCTCCTCTACAATCCTGAGCCTGGAAACTCACATTCCTTTCTAATTATCCTAAAAGTTAGTTCCAGCACTTTGAAGTACAACTGCAACATACATATACTGGTAGTACAGATAGTTCTCGACTTACAATTTGCTTAGTGACCGTGCAAAGTAACAACAGCACTGACAATAGCAATAGCATTTAGACTTATATACCGCTTCACAGTGCTTTTACAACCCTCTCTAAGCGGTTTACAGAGTCAGCCTATTGCCCCAACAGTCTGAATCCTCATTTTACCCACCTCGGAAGGATGGGAGGCTGAGTCAACCTTGAACCAGTCGGGATCGAACTCCTGGCAGTGGGCAGAGTTAATCTGCAATAGCAATAGCACTTAGACTTATATACTACTTTACAGTGCTTTACAGCCCTCTCTAAGCAGTTTAGTCATCCTTTTGCCCCCAACAATCTGGGTCCTCATTTTACCAACCTTGGAAGGATGGGAGGCTGAGTCGACATTGAGCCTGCTGAGATTCAAACTGCCAAATTGCAGGCAGCCAGCAGGATTAGCCTGCAGTGCTGCATTTTAACCACTGCACCACAGCGCCTCAGACTTATGACTGTTTTTCACACTTACAAACATTGCAGTGATCCAAATTCAGACGCTTGGCAACTGACTCGTATTTATGACGGTTGCAGTGTCCCATGATCACCTTTTGCGACCTTCCAATGAGCAAAGTCAATAGGGAAGCCAGATTCACTTAACAACTGTGGCAAGGAGTAAAATATGGCAAAATTCAACGGTCTTGTTTAGCAACAGAAATTTTGGGCTTAGCTGTGGTCGTAGATCAAGGACTATCTGTATAGTCATCATATGGAGCATTTACCTGACCTTTTAAAGTCCATCTGAAATGCAGAACCTAATCCACATGTTGAATAAAGCATTTGACATCCCACAAATTACCTACTTGATACTCATTCAAGGAACTTTTTTTTTAAAAAAAACCTACATTTCAATTCAATGGACTAAGAAAACACACATATTGGATAAAACTTTTGTTGCTATATGCAGGGTCAGTTTAACCAGCTGTCCCACATGTGTTTGATTGAATTTAACCTGCAAAAGAACTGCATATAGTACTTGGCAAAGTTTTCTCCTCCAGCCATATCAAGAACTCCAGTTTTCTTATGAAAAGTTGTTCTCCGTTTTGGCATGTGACATTTTGGCATAAGTGTTTCAATGGTCATCAGAGATAACAGAAAAAAGCAGTTTGATTACCAAAGGAGCAATGAATGAATGAGAAAATGAATGGCTTTAAAAGAAAAATAGCAAATACAATCAATGTGTGGCAAGTCCACATTGGTTTGGTCAAGAGCCAAAGTTAATATGAATGTCCGGTTTGTACACCTATAGGATGAAACGAGCTCCAGAAGTCCATATATCCTCAACCTTAATTGAATGTCTTATCTCCAGATGATGGGTTGGCTTTTATTACTTTTGATCTTGAGTCCCAGTTTTATGATGATGATGATGATGTAAGGGCGTTGTTTTTTAACCTGATTGTATTTATTTTCAATCCCAGTTACAAACTAGGGAGTTGTGCACTGCTCAGAATCAGCTGAACACGTGACTTATAAGCAAGGCATATAAGACCTGTAAGCAAGCAAGGCAAATTAATAAATAAAAGAATTATGGCCTAGATCAGGGGTGTCCAACCTTGGCAATCTTAAGACTTGCGGACTTCAACTCCCAGAGTTCCTCAGCCAGCTTTGCTGGCTGAGGAACTCTGGGAGTTGAAGTCCACAAGTCTTAAAGTTGCCAAGGTTGGACACCCCTGGCCTAGATAGTAGGCCATACTGAGGTTCATCTGCAGAATGCCATAAAATAGTTGATACGATTATTCTGAAACAACTAAGATAAAAAAAAATCAAAAAGGAGACAAAGCAAGGAAAATCTCTAAACATTGATTAGAATTTTTTTTTAAAAAAATTGTTTTTTTATGATTGTTTTGCAAATGATCTGTCACCAAAAGAACCAGAGACATTAAAAACCGGAACAATAGTAGCAGCAGTAGTGCTGTTTCTATGTGCCCCAAATACTGCATCTTACCCAGGCTACCTTTTACAATTTGCATGAGATGCAAAATAGTGGATTTAGATTAAAAAATAAAAAATAATTGGCAACCATATTTAGAGTGACAACTATGGATAAGGCCAAAAGAAAAATGAAAAAGGAAGAAAGAAATGGGTAAAGGTATTAAATATGAATTTGACAAGACAGATATTTTTACCTGATTATCCTACAAATCTTCTCTGTGAAATTCTAATGAAGAAATACTCAGGATCAAAGAAAAGTGTACCTTTTAAGAACACATCATTTGTTATTTGGCAGGTTTGATTTGACTACAGACACCTTCTCTCTTCCCTTCCCCATATTGTGTGTTTTTATATGAAATCTGGGGAGAGGAGGGTGTCAAGTCAACATCAGTCATGCTCTGCTAGTTTTTTCCAAGCATGTATTTAACCAGTTAGTCATGTAAGTGGGCCCTTGCTGCAGCATCAACAAAAGACCTTTATCATAGTATAAAGGAGGCCAAGAGTTAAAAATACTGGCCTGTCAATATAGAAATAGCTCACACATGTCACTTGTTAACATCAAGTAGAAGATTTGCTGTTAAGACAATAGTAGAGCAGCAACTTCCAGAGCTGTCAGCAGATTGAAAAAATGCTACTACTCAGGCCGATTATGGCTGCACCTTTTCCTTCACCATGCAATGCAGGAGCACTAAAACACTCACCTACTCACTAAATACTAAGGCCAAGAACTGATGCTCAACAGGATCTCACGTTTATTATTGAGAAGTGATTAATGGTGAAAGAAAGGCATCACCCATTCCTCATTGGCTTAACAAGAAAACTGAAGAAACATTCACTACACAGTTTACAATATTTTTTTTTCTTCCAAAATTAATTTTCCTGTAAACAAACAAGCTTTTACCACTGTTCTCAGCCTTCAAATCAAATCAAGCCAGACTTAATCTGTAATCCATATAATGCACAAGAACAGAACATTTCTTAGGACTCTTCGTATTTCACTTTTGAGAGAGAGAAAAAATGAACCACCCCCTCAGACATGACCTCGTAGACAAATCCCATTCAAATCTTCTAGGCATAAAAAAACCCCTCAAGAATTCTTCATAAAATTCCTGTTCCAGTCCATGGGGAAAAAAAAGTTACTCATTCCACTTTCCATGGTGGATGTCCAAAAGAAAGTCACAACTCGGTGTTCCAAGTGCAAATATCAAAAAAATCAGGAGGAAGAGGGGTTCAGGAGGCCAGGAAACCAGGTAAGCTGCAGATTTAAAAATTAGAGGAAAAAATAGGGCATATGCCACTTGCGGATTTTAAAATCCGATAACATAGTAAAAAGACAAACAAAAAAGAAACAAAAACCCCAAAGTATATGGTCTGAAATTACAACCAAAGCCAAAAGAAAGGGGGACAGTTTTCACTTCTACTCTACCTAGAAGGTTTTTTTTTGTTTTTTTAAGTCCTATGTCTCTTGTGAAATTTCAGTATTTTTTTTTTCAAACTGTACGTTTATAAGAGTTTGTATGGAGTCAATGAAATAAGTCCTAATTCCTTCTGGTGTAGTCTTTCTTCCTTTTGAAAGATATCCGAGATGCACCATCTGTGTTGCAGTCTCTGTGAAAGGGCCCAACGGTTTATTTGACACGGCCTTGACGTTCCTATAGGAAAGAGAACAGAAGAAAACAGAGATTGTTAGCGGATAGCAGTACTGAAATGGATTACAATGCCAGAAGATTTAAGATAACATTGAGACGGCTTTCCATATTCTTAATCTACCATGCTAGTAAAATACCTGCTATTTGCCAATTTTCATACTTAAAACACATAGCTTCTGAAACAAAGTGTATCACTAAAAAAGCTTTTCATTTATGCCTTCTCTCAACATATTCAAATTCTTTGACATCTCATGCAAATAAATGTTATGCATACATTTAACTAAACTTAATCTTTACAGTCATAAGAGTAAAAACTGCCGTATAAACTAGCCTACTGCCCCATGATTTTGCTCACAATGACAAATGCCACCTTATAATTTGGAAAAGATAAATAAATGCCTATTATGTTACTTGCTATCTACATTCCAAGTCGTAATATTTAGGCAAGTGATCACTTTTTCATTTTCGGGGAAGATATGTTTGTTCAAATCAATACACTGGTAAGATTCCCCCTCTAAAAGAAGCTATTTCAGGAGAAGAAACTGCCGCTCTAAAAGCAGCCTGTGAATCTGTCTGGTTCCTCTGAAATTTCTTTTTCTTACCAAATTATATTGGCATATTATGCAAGGTAGGGTTTCTCTCTAGAAATTTTAACTTCATAGCTTTTAAGATTCTGTAGCCAGCCTTGGACAAAGTAAATGTTAGCGTCTGCCACAGAACAGTACGGGGAAGAATAATTTGTTTGAGAAGTGATGGAACAGAAAACTTTCTAGTACAGTCAAAAGGCAGCAACTACAATCATATCATTTGGCAATGTTAACTCTGAAAGAGGGCTTGATCTATACTATCTACTGCCTCTGCTCATCAGATACACTTCTGCTCCATTCTTGCTTATTCTGTGGCAAATAACAGAAGGCAGCAAGATCAGCTTCTGTTGACATGTCTGAGAGAGGAAGCCATATTCATGCAATCTAAAAGATCAAGGCTAGTGACACTTGCTAACAAGTTCAAGCAAATCTAGTAGCTATTCAATCATGACCAATCCCTTCTAAGTTATTCAGAACACCATGTCAGTTGGTTATCACACACTGGTATCAAGACAGGGATGAAAGCAATGCAAATACTGTTCTCACATACAGCTGAAAGAACAAAGATAATATCCAGTGTATAGAAGTTTCATTGAATATAGTATCACCTGTTGGCAAAGCTATCTACTTTTATCTGTTTGGTCAATGCTTTCATAGAAAATATTTTAGCATAAAATTCTGGAGATAGATAAACTGCAAATGCTACAGCAACAGTGCTATCCACCTGCTATCCACCCCCAAGCTTTGGACTATAATGTTATCAATGACCGCTAGCCATGATGGCTGAAATCTATGGGAATGATAGTATACACTATATGGAGGACATCTGATTGCTTACCCCTGGCCTAAAAAGTTAAACCACACATAAAAACATATCTAAGAACCACCCAACAATCCATATTTCCTTTACCTTGAGCTGGTAACAGGTGGTTGTACCTGTTTTGAAACCATCTTCTTGCCCCTCCTTTCTCAAAATAGGATCTTAAGATCTGTTTAGACTAGGGATGTCCAACCTTGGCAACTTTAAGATCTGTAGACTTCAACTCCCAGAACTGCTCAGCTAGCATGGGGAATTCTGGGAGTTGACATCTACAGATCTTAAAGTTGCCAAGGCTAGATCTGGTTTTGATCCTGATCTACTTTTCTTAGAGCCAAGTCAACTCTCTCCTAGATGTTTTTCCCTTTTCCATCCTCATTCTCCTTCTTTGGTACTGTACATCCTTTTTGACTAAAAACCTACAGTTAGGGATTGCCTTTTATTAGATAAATTACACTAGGTAACTTTTAAATTTATGGATAAATTTATTTAGAATATTTATGTCCTGTACTTCAATCAGAAAGATTCCAAACAGCTTATAAACCAATAAAACTAAAAATTCCAACCAGCAAGTTTAAAGTCTGAAATGACACAACAGAGAAATTAATGAATACTAAAATGACATTTCTTAGTACAAGGATCTTAGTCTGCCAGAGTTCATAGGAATGGCTATGAGGAAATAAAACCCAATTTACAAAAATAGATAAGCACTTTACTTGTAGAAGTAGTTGAATGCAGTTAAATAAATTGCTATCAATGCTCTAACTATATCTTCTTTCTTATTATGTGATAAAGCATTTATTTCACAAGTCATTCTCTGCTTTTCCATGTTTTATTAATATTGTTTGGTGTTTTTATGTATTACAGTTTTAAACATCAATTTATTCCAAATAAGCCATACTGTACTGAAAAGTGTGAAGGAAAAGCCACACAAATAAAATTAATCCCTACAGTAAAATACTATTTTCTGTTTTTCTTTTTTATTAAAAAAAAAAAAGACAACTTGGAGTAATGCTTGCAATGCTTCCTTGTTCTAATCTAGCCTTTCTCAACTGGAATTTTGTGAGATTGTGATTCAAACCAAACCAAACCAAACCAAACCACTGTATTCTAAATTTTGTGCACTGCACAATACTATAAACCATGATACAACTGCCTGCCTGCCATGGTGCATAGATTGTAAAGATTAGACATGAATTGTATTATAAATTTTTCATACTATTTTTTTTCAATTTTTATATAGGGATTCCCCGAGACTTGAACATTATTTCAAGATTCCTTCAGGGTAAAAAAAGTGCCACCAGCTGCACTTCCCTCCAGCCTTCGCTCAAAGCCCCATAACCAGGAGGCTGAAGCAGACCCCAATTTGGAATTTCTGCCCCCCTCCGACCCACACAAAAAGACCCCAAAGGGGGAGACTGTCTTCAACAACACAAACGTTCATTGTATGTATCCAGCCCAGGGGCCGTAGTTTGAGGACCCCTGATTTAGTGCAATGTAAAAAATGCAAGTAATTTTTCTGTGGACCACCAACATTTTCTCGCGGACCACCAGTGGTCTATGGACCACTAGTAGGTGACTGTTGCTTTAGGATCAATGAAAGTGGGCAATTCGCCCAGCGCAAAATAGGATTTAATCTTATTCCATGCTTTTGTCTGACAAGTAGAGAGGGTGATGGCCACATTTTTTTAAAACATAATCTATGTATATTACAATGCTTTATTCCAATTTTTAAGTTTTTGCATTCTGAAAAGAGTTCAACAACACTCCTAGTTCATGTATTGCAGTTCTGGTCACCTGGGGATAAGCGCCTGCTTCTGAGAAATATTTACCAGTCACCACTTAATGCAAGATTACTGGAAAACACACAGAGGAAAAGTAAATGCCATAAAATACAGTGCTAGTGACATAACTTTATGTAGCATTCTGTGAAAGAAAGCACACAGCTTTCAGACTTTTCTAATAACCAGAATTTTGACTTTTATATGAGATGAGTCAGCATGCAGCTGATGGCAAGAAAGTTCAATAATCAGATGAGACACTTTCCCCAACCATTGATTTTTATACACAAACGTGAAATTTGAGAGGCAGCCTCGTAGTTACTACAAAATGTCCCTCCTCATTTTATTCAATCTTGTTTTAAATACAACATTGTAAATGCAATAACTTGATGAAGTATTACGTTACCAGGCCTGTTCCTGTTAACTATTGTACAAATTCAATTATATAATTTAAATGCGTTTGCAAGTCACAGCACAATACAGCAGTGCCCCCCCCCCAACCTTTCTGGCATCATGGATCTGTTTTGGAAGAAAAACTGTCTTCCCAGGGGGAGGGATGGTTTCGCGTGCCATCTAGATCCTGTGCATGCGCAGATGAAACGCTGCTTGCTCACTTGTCTGCTGCCTGTGCAGCCCAGTTCCTAATAGGCCACTGGCCAGTACCAATCCGTGGCCCCGGGGTTAGGGATCCCTGCAGTATAGCATTGTTCTGTTATTTGCAAAATCTTTATATATAAAGTACAGCTAAGACTGGGGCATGAAAAACTTTTTAAGTTTACAGACTTATATCTACGTTCTGACTCTCCACTTCTGATTTAAGCACTCACTTTGTCATAAATCCCAGAATGGAACAAACTATAGCTAAGCAAGGAAGTACTGTAAACTGACTGACTGTAAATTATCTGATGAAACTGCTTCACTTTCCACAAGAAAGGCCTTCATGTTTTCTCCAAAACACCCAATTTCAGATGGGTGCAATAACCAATCTAAGGTAGGTAACGTGTCTGTGGAAAATAAGGGAATATCCACCATGCTGTCCTGTACCAAAGAAAAGTGCTTTTCCCTTTTCCAATGTCTATATGAACACAATTCAAAGATAAATTTAAATCTTTACCCACGCCTTTGTGAACGAATTAAATCTTTCATTTTATTGTATCTGATCTGTTACACTTGCCATCTTTTAGTATTATTTTTTATGTTTTATTGATTGTACTGAAATTTGACTGTTGTGAGCCTCGCTCCCACCCATCATTGAGTCAGGTGCCATACAACTTGAATTTAAGAGTTTTATGCACCATATCTAGCTATTTATCTTATTTGTTTCTATTCTATGTCCTAGTTTTTTGGCCCATTAGACATTCTAGGCAGATGTTTGAACTGTCCTTGAGAGCTATCCTAAAATCTAGAAACACACAGAGCCTTGCAGGTGAGCACAGAGCAGTATTTTTTTCTTATTAAGAGCCTTTATATATTGTCCCAATCACATGACTTTTCTGCGTACCCTTAGCAGCACTCTAGATGCATACAAGGACATCCCAAAACAAACAAGCTTATTTCAGTCAAAGAACAGCTACAAGTTGAAAGCTTAAAGGCCTTTTGCCTCAAGGCTCTCCTTATTACTGGTACTCCTTACTTACAACAGTTTGTTTAGTGACTGTTCAAAGTTACACGGCACTAAAAAAGAGACTTAGGACTGTTTTCCACATTTAGGATCATTGCAGCATCCCCAGTCACATGATCAAATTCAGATGCTTGGTAACTGATTCAGTGGCGCAGTGGTTACAGTGCAGGACTGCAGGCTCCTTCTCCTGACTGCTGGCTGCCTGCAATTTTCAGGCATGATATTCCCCTCTGAAAAAAAAATCGGGGCCGGCCAAAAGAGACCCCCCCCACCGCGCGCCAAGAAATCGCTGCCCAGCTCCCTTTCGCACCGCCTGCCGCTCGCACCGCCCGCCCGGCCTCCGCTCGCACCGCGTTGCCTCGGGAAGGGGAAGGCAAAACCAGGAGCCGCTGCTGCCATTGCAAAGCGCCGCCGCGGCTCTTCCTTTTTGCTTTTCCTTTCCTGAGGCAACGCGGGACTGGAGCCACGCAGAGCCGCGCCGGCGGTAGCAACTCCTGACTCGGGGCCTCCGAGGGGAGGGGAAGGGGGAGAAGAAGGGGGGAAAGGGGGGGGCGATTTCCAAAAAAATCGGAATTACGATTTTAATCGGAAGAATATCATGTCTGAATTTGGCAGTTCAAATCTCGCCAGGCTCAAGGTTGACTCGGCCTTCCATCCTTCTGAGGTGGGTAAAATGAGGACCCAAATTGCTGGGGGGGGGGGGGGGGCAATAGGCTGACTCTGTAAACTGCTTAGAGGGGTGTAAAACACTGTGAAGCAATATATAAGTCTTCAGTGCTATTGCTAATTCATATTTATGATGGCTGCAGTGTGACAGGGTCATATAATCATCTTTTGCTAACTTCTGGCAAGCAAAGTAAATGGGGAAGCCTGATTCATTTAACAACCATGCTATCTCACTTAGCAACAGAATTTTGAACTCAATTGTGATTGTAAGTCAGGATTAGTTGTATCTGATTACTTCAATTTATATAGCAAAAGCTGTTACTATATCGGCTGTTAAAAATCTTTGCCCTGGGGAATAAGTACAAGTTTCTATTAAAAAATGAAATTAAAATATCATGAAAAAGCCAATAACACTTTTTTATGTCAACCATATTAAACTACTCCAAAAGGAAAGGATAAAGATTTCCTGTTCTTCATACTTAGCCTGGTAATTATTGTTGACTTCAGTTAATCTGATTTATATCACCTAAGTGTGTTTTGTCCAGAAAGGCAAATGAAAAGCAGACTGCAATCATCAGGCAAATTCTTAAAGCTCACATATGTGCTTTGTTGATGCAGTTCTGAATATTAGGAAAATATATGCATTACAGCCCTACATAACATTTTACATCTATAATTGATGAGTTGGGAATAAATTATCAGTAGCCATCCTAACACCAGCAGAAGTGCCGGTATACACTAGATTAGACAATTTATTTTTGCCATTAAGCAGCATAAAATATTTTATATAGAAACATTTATAATACTGTAATGCAAATAGAAAAATTACTTTATTTAAAGATTGGACAATTTGCAGCATACACTGGAATAAAATTATTCAATCGGTGTTTTCATTTTAGGGCTGCAGTTTTGGGATCTTATAAGGTGTTACAGTTTCAGGATACTGTTATGCACCCAAAGAGACTTGGACATACCGTTTCTGCAGTATTGGTGTTATAATTTACATAGGAAGAGTTACACAGTAACAAGTAATTATCAAATCAATGAAAGAGTGTAACCCGCCTTAAAAAAAAAGATGTACTAGTAGTCAAATTGAAAAACTGAAGCTTCAAATACATAATCTCTTAACATAATCTCTGCAACAGAGAGAACAGCCAGTCTTAGAAATAGCATTTTATAGCATGAATAGAGAAAGAGCATGAAGAGAGAAGAGAATTATATGATGCAGAACCTGATTCTCGATAAACACTGCTACAGGATAGAGACAGTAATAAATGCTTCTGTCCAGCAAACTTGAAAGCCAAACCCTGCTAGGCTTGGATTCTGATAGGTATGTGTCATCCCAAACTGGCATGCTGAAGATCGAATACAAATCCTGTCATTTTAAGATATCGTGGGAAACAATTCATTTTACAGGGAGTACTGAAACAGCTATGTTGGCTTAGTCATGTTGTTTGGAAAAGGCCACAGGATACAAATATTTTGTTTTTGAGGATTCTGAATTCCAATTAGAAAAAGCAGCTTCAGGACTTTTTCAATTTTAATCTTTAAGTATCAAATACTGTTAAGATTAAAAACAAATACTTGGGGGGGGGGGGGCGTCCCTTCTTGTTAGTGCTGACTCCCAGACAGGTCCCTGCAATCTCTTGGCAAGATTTTGGAAGTGGTTTGCCAATGTCTCCTTCTTAGGGCTAAGAGTGTGAGACTGGCTCAACAAGATCACCTGTCTGGCTTTGTGCCTAAGGTAGGACTAGAATTCAGTGTCTCCTGCTTTCTCACCTGGTGCCTTCACTACTACACCAAATTTGCTGCCTATTCAAAAATAAAGTAATCAAGCACATCCAAGTAATATATTTCTGCTGCCCTGCTATTTTTCACACCTGTATTTTCTTTACTGCTTTTAATCTCCATGATGAATTTTAACATTATTTCTGCTTTATCCAGATGCTTTGTTGACATGATTACCTTAAAAATATTATGCCTGTAAGTTTTCACATTTCTCCTACAAATGATCGTAATTTTTCATTTAGAGGCTATGATTATCTACATTAGTCTTTCCATGATACTGCCATACCATAACCACGATGTGACAGCATAAATCCTACTCACTTAAGAAAACACACATTTCAGTATAAAAATCAAGAGGAGAAAAAAAAAAAGAGCATATCTATGATTTTTCAAAACATAGTTATACTAGATAAATCAGCATCTAAGTCAATGGCTTAGATACCAAGAATTATATAGCTCATTCCAACTGCTCAAGGTACAAGGTTTTCTTGTACAACAGTCTCGTGTTAAAGGACATACTTTTAAAAAAAAAAAAACACCCTTTTTAGGCAAGTTGGGAGGGTCACTAATAACTAGAGCAGTGGTTCTCAGCCTTTTCCTCACCATGGACCCCCTTTAAATACTTTTTGTGGCCAAGACTTAACTCAAAATTTAAATCATAACATTTCTTCAAGCCTTTGTGGGGGCCCTGTGACAATACTGCGGGCCCCCAGGGATGAGAACACTGAACTAGAATACACCTTTAGCAGCTTTGAGGGTACTTTGGTGCTATACTGATTACCAATTCATCAGTTGGTGCCTCAAGAAAAAAAGAAAGAAAAGAAATAGCTGCAGAAGGCAAAGCTGATCTTATTCCTGGAGTTAAAAAATTGTGACACCATAAACAAGACATATCATACCAAGGATATTGATTGAAAAGGATTTCCACCCATAATTCAGTTTACTTAATTCGGTTCACGAAGAAAACTATAAGCACTATTATCCAGAGCATCTCATGGGGAGTCTTGCTGTCCCTACATGCTTAAATGTCATGTTCTTCTATACTACACAAACTTACAATTTGGCTAGAGCAGATTCCGGTTTAAATATCACTGCCAAAAGTTATACATACACTTAATGATAACCTCTGCAAATCTACTTGTGTATTGAGGTTCACAACTTACTCGATCTTATAACATCCAGCCTCCCCTTTATTTCTCTTCCCTGGCTGTTCAACAAGTTACCTTTTTCACATTTTCCTCCTCTTCCTGGCGTTTCTCATAGTGTGAGAAGTCATCAAAGATGGAAGTGGTGTGCTTGTAGGTAGCAATGATTTTCAGCACCTGTTTGGCCTTTTCCAGAGGCACCTCCTGAGTGTCCCTGGAGTTGGTCACTGGTTTATTCTCATTGTTCTCTAGGCGAATGTGCCGCAGTTGGCTGTTGGGAACGTCCTTCACAAAAATCCACCTGACATCAAATCGCCCCTTCCATTTGTCCTGGGACCACACACCAGCACACGTATTGTAGTCCACGGCAGATTTCATTTCTGCCACTCCACAGAAATGACCGCTGCCGTTGACACTGAACAGTAAGTAAACAGGACCTTTTCCATTCATGGACCGATAAGCAGCATCCAGTCTCTTATTACCATGCTCTGTACTGCACCAGATGTTATATTTAATGGAACGGTGGATGTCGTCTTCAGAGTAACTCTTGATAATGAAGACCCTCCCATGTTTTGGGTTCCAGTCAAAATCCTTTGGGTTGTAGTTGTTGATAGATCTCAACTTCTCCAAGACAGGGTGGGGCTCCAAAGGCGCAGACCCAGAGGTGGCTTGAGACTGTCCTACTGCATTGCCATCAACTCCATTTTGGCCAAATCCATTTCCACGGTTACGAGGCGCGACCCAACGGGCAGGCTGAGCTGCCTGCTGCTGAACTGGCAACTGAGTTGGTTGAGGTGGTGCAGGTGGCAGAGGTTGTGGCTGTTGTCCTGCTGAAGGCTGCATTGCTGGTGGGCTATTATTCATCTGTTGACCCATTGGCTGGGGAGATATTTGGGTTGGTGGCTGACCAATATTCTGAACTAAAGCCTGGGAAGGGTTTTTTGCCACTGGTCCTTTATTATCCCAAGTTCCAATGTCCATATTGTGTTTAATGGGGGGCGGTGGAAGACTTGAGCCTGCAATCCCATTCTTGGTCTTCAGCTTGGGCTGCTGTTTTGCAGGTTTGCTTGCAATATCAGCCCAGGATGTTGGTTTGGGAGGAGCAATAGTAGCTGGGGGCAAGCTATTAGAAGTTCCAATATTACTGGCGATAGACCCACTGCCAACGGCAGAGCCAACAACTTTTGGGACATTGCTTGCTACATCAGTGCTGCCTAGTTTCAAGGCGGCCATTCCTTGGTCTATGGTGTTCATGCCAGGTGCCTTATTCAAGGTGTCATTAGCAAACGCTGACTGTCCATCAATCATAGCTCCACCCAGCGAACTTGGTGCGTAAGCATAGTTGCTACTGTATCCTGAACTTTGAGTTGATTGCCCCTGAGAACTGTTATTACCCCAAGCAGAGAAGTCAATCCCACTTGGAAAAAAGTTAAAGCCATGCTGTCCCAGAAAGGGTGTGCTGCCAAGGGCCCCTGGCTGTCCAAACATGGCATCGGGGAGAAAATGAGGCTCTCCATTGCTTAGCTGCCCATAAGAAGTCAAATAGGGCATAGGTGGATCCCCCCCAGTAGACCAAGCAGCTTCACCCAAGGAGTAGGAAAATCCAATGGATGGGCTGTAGTAATTCGGCATGTAGGAATCTGACATTGCAGTATATGCGTTGTTCTGGAAGAAAAAAACAAGAACTAAAGAGTTAGACTGAACAATATGTGCTATAGCATGAAAACTAGATGAAACCCACGTGTAGATTATTCTTCCTTGTTATCTTTTCAAGGCCAAATTTTTCTTTATAATACAGGGCTACACAAAAAAGCGAGCTACTGATTTCAGAGCATCAGAGAAAATGAAGCCATCCTACGTCTTATCCAAACCTCAAAAAGAAATTCACTCTTGCTACAAAACGCCATTTAATTTGGAGGGGGGGGTGTATCTTTTAATCTATGTAGTACTTTACTGAGGTATAGGTGGAAGACAAAACACATAGGAAGATCAATTACAAGTAATTCTAGCTTGCTTCCTTTAAAAAAAACAGCTACTGAAATTTAAATTATTTGTAAATGGACCAAATAATTTAAATATTGTTTATTTAAATGGTTTTAAGAATAAAAGAATTCCACCCATCTCCTTAAAGTAACAATAGTGATGCAAGTTAAAACATCACCTAAGTGAAATCTTGGGCTATGCCTTTACAAGCCAATGAACACACCAAAAAAGATATAGAAAGAATGGTTCACCAATCATATTTCAATACCAAATTTCTTAGCAATAGAATATTGTATCTTCCCAACCAAAACACTGGAAATATCTCATGTATGTTTTGAATGGAATTGTCACCAGATCACTGACTACAGGAAGCTATCATTTCATTCTGCAATTCCATCACTAAAACCTTTAAATTTCTCATTTATGTTAGCTCAATTAAAAATATATAAAAAATCAGTGGCAACTCTTCACTATGAACAGCTTCAGATAACAGTATAAGGCAATCTTCTATTTACAGTATTCAAGTGTAGATATAAATAGCATTACATTATAAATAAATATAAGACTTAAGTACTAGAAACAAACCAAACAACTGAATGAAGAGTTAGTCATAATGATTTCTTGATCTTGAAATGCTGAAAGAAATTATACTATCCTTTAAGGGATCATTTAGGTCTGATTTAAAGACATCTATGCTGATCAGCAACTGTCTAACAATTGCTCTAAAATGATGCTTAGGAGTGACAACACTGAGATTTGTCCCAGTTTCATTCAATCATATATTTAAGAATGATAACAGAGAAATATAATTCCATAATTTGCTAATTGAACCCCAAACATCAGATGGCTGAATGTAACTCATGTTTAATGTTAGACCAAGGTTTTATTAACATTTACAAATAACTATGCTTCTGAAATGCACTTTAAAAACAAAATAATTTCCTAAAGGTCCAATTGCTTTAATAACATAGAGATTAAACAAGCCTATCAGATTTTTAAAGGAATGATTAAACAGAGGGGTAAGACTGAGTATGGTGCTGTACTCACACAAAAAATGTTCTAAAATGTTATTGAAAGTACCTGAAAATAGATTTTGCCATTAACTGCACAGGTTAAGGATATATCCTGTTGCAGCAAATACATGATAAACTATGTATCTACAACACCCCCCTGCTCACCATTTAAAGGACTTCCTAGAATGACTCAGTCTCATTAAACTTCCTGATGACTGAAGTAATGACAAAGCTCAAATGCATGAGCATTTTATCAAAATTGGATTAGCATTGCAGGCTATTCTTGCCTATTTAACCGGTGATATTCCAATTTACAACAGGAAATTAAAAGGTTAATAAGGCTGCATCCTTTCCTAGTAACAACAACTTGCAGAGATAGTGCTCTGCTGTCACTGCTAGGAACAAACTATGATGAAACAACAACAAATTACAAAAACTACAAATTAATGGTTAGTCAACATGTACATGTCTAGATCTCTCTCTCTCTCTCTCTCTCTCTCTCTCTGTGTGTGTGTGTGTGTGTGTGTGTACATACAATGACTAAGTCAAGCTACCTTAGGGCCTATCTTTTAAATAGAGCTTACTCTATATAGACTTAAACTTGGGCAGGTTTGCATATACAGGTCTGTTCTTGTTTTTTTAGATATTTGGAAGGAGGGAAGCCATTCCCATCAACAGCAAGGATATAATTACAAGAGCACAATTGCAAGTTCAACATGTGCACATTTATAATTGACAAATAGCCAAGAAACTGGGCAATAAAATGCTCATTTTACAGCACAAAAACTGTATGGCTTTGAACAATTATTTGGAAGAGTCTCGGAAGAGTTCAGAAGTAACCAATCATACATTATCCAGCTTCCAGAATTAATAAGTTACACAGCAATCCACTGTGTGGGAATTTCTGAAAAAAAAGTCAATTAGTTCCCTACCCTGACACTTCTTGGTAACTTTCCATATCATGTTTATGGATCCATTCCTCTCATACAAAAGGCCTGTTCATTGAAGATTATGTGAAAACCACATTAGATGCCTTAAGTATGTTCACAATACTATATATTTTTCACAGTGTAGATCCTGTTGTCAACTTAGCTGATACTTGCAGTAACTGGAATAGAAATAATCAGCAGTGGACAGAAACTAGGTAGTCAGCTGAAAGTTCACCCTAGCTCCATGATGGCGAACCTATAGCACGCGTGCCGGAAGTGGCATGCAGAGCCATTTCTGCCGGCCCGCGAGCCATCACCCCAGATTAGGTCCACTGCGCATACGCCTCCCGCCAGCCAGCAAATTGTTGGGTATCTGCTGCACATGCACGAGAGACACACATGCATGTGCAGGTATTGCGCATGCATGCACAGGGGCAAGGGGGTCGTGCGCGCATTGCATTATGGGTGCAAGCACACACACACACTTTTGGCACAAGGTTAGCCATCACTGCTCTAGCTCAACGGCCCCCAACCTTTTGGGCATCAGGGGCTGGTTCTGGGAGAGAGGTTTTTCCACAGATCAGTGCCGATCCACGTTATCGGGGGTTGGGGGCCCCTGCCCTAGTTTTCTCCTAAGCTGGAACTTTGTTTTCTGTGAAGTTCCCAGATCAAAATATTGCTACTATTTCTTCAGTTTAAAGTTGATCCCTATCCTTTATGATTTTATAACTTCAAAGTTCATCTACAATTTTGTAGTTTTCCTTTCAAGACTTTTCAGAAACTGCACGAAGATATTACACTATAGGCTTAGCTGCAGACTCAAGAACACTTTATAACAAGCATTCTGATTCCTTCCAGCTATGTTCAAACTACAAATCCAATTCTCCAATTGTTGGCCCTGTGCAATGACTGCTGGGCAATATTAGCATGTGACCATGTCACTGGACACTAGAATCCAGCAGCATGCAAAAAGTCCTAGGATGCTCTTCCAAATGATGGAATTCTTACTCCCTCAAATCCCTGCAAAAGTTTGCACATAAGAAAATATCTGTCATTGTTCTCCTTGTAGTAAACAAAGGAAATGAATTCAGAGCTTACAAATTAGAAGACTGGATCTAACTATACATAGAAATGCTTCTCAACACTTAAAACTGCTAAAAGGTTGTTTAGAACAATGATAGGTAGATAAAAAGGATACTTATTTTGACTAAATCTTGACTATTGAAGACTAAAAGACATTTTCATAAAATATTCTTGGCAGCCACACAGGAAAAAATGCCATTATGATTTTGGGGGATATTTTTTCAACTTCCCAGTTTAGTTTACAAGTTATATTTCCTAGCTCTTCTACTCGAACACTAACAAGACTCATCCCTATTTAGCTTTTGGGAATCAGCCAAGAACAGCCATGTAAGAGAACATATTGTACATATAGTTTACTAGCTCTCAACCTCTGTGAAATGTTAGGCCTTACTAGATGTATGATCTCAATAGAAGTGGGTTAAGATCCAAAAGCTAATTAAGGTACTTAATTTCAATCATAATCCACAATTCATTTCTATAAACTAACAGTGTTTATTGCACTACAAGGTGAACTATAAACCACCTAGAGATGCCTTTAGAAGAGATGGGCACCATACAAACTTAATAAACATGCATGGAATAGAGTTGGTCAGCTTATTTTAAATGTACTTACTCAGAAATTCAGACAATTCTGTAGAAAATTATTCCTTAATGTATTAAATTCGGTCCCACTGAAGAGGCTTACAAGATTTATAAAGTGTAAGACATTGCTATAAGCTGCTAGCAAGCATTAACAGCTAATTAGGGAATGAGCTGAGTATAAATTATCAAAGCAGAGAAATAAGCTGAATTCTAGATGGCATGAGAAAAAGGGATTGAATAAAAGCAAAAAGCATCATGAAACAAATAAGTACATTTTCTAACACTCACCGGTCTGGCCTGAGGACTCAAGTAAGGTTCGATATCATCATCATTTAAGCTGTCTTTCTGATGCACTGATCCATTTTGCACTAAAAACAAATGTTTTGACAAGATTACCAATTCTGATATTAATGTTCAATCATTTATACATGAAGAACCCTTTGTCAGAAATTGGACATGTTTAAGATTAGTTATTACTGCTCACGGATAAGAGTATACATTAACTTCTCATAGTATCCATCTGTTTCATTGGGGATTAGTGGTAGGCAGTGGGGTTAAATTAAGTCCTGCAAATATATTGTCCTGGTAAATAATTCCAATGTATTTTACTAAAAAATACAGTAAACCTGGAAATTGGGTGGGGTACAAATTTAATAAGTAAAACCATCATGTAATGTGACTACGCCTCCATGAGGATTTGAGATTTGAAGGGAAGCTTTAGTTGACTAACATATGCAGTTGGGGGGGAATAGCACCTATCATCCAATATACATTCAGCGGTCATGTAAAAGGCAATGTCAACACCTCTCTGCTGCACTGAGGCAGGATTATCACTAATTAGGTGGAAATTACAGAAAAATCAATAATGTTCACGTTAGATATAGTATATTATGTATGCTCATACTTAAACCATCAAAAACCACATTATAGGTTAAGTATAATCTGAAAATTCTTCCATCTATGGCACAGATGCTTCCTAAGAACAAGAGGTTTGGTTTGCTTTTTTTCAACAACTGAGTAATATTCCTAAGAGGAACTTATTTTTGTTGCTTCTTTCTCTACAAGCAGAAGCTAACCATCTCTCTCAAGGAAGTTGTAGACATCTCTATGCATCTGAGGAAGCTGCAGCTCAAACAAGTTATGTCTTTTAATAAAATTTGTTAGTAAAAAAAAGGTGCTACCAGATTCCTGACTCCCCCCCCCAAGATTATTACTGCAGATGTAGTACTAAACAAAGGGTCAGACCGAATAACCTCCAAGTTCCCTTCCTTTGTTTGGATTTTAAACTTTTGAATTCATAATAGAGCTTACAAGCACTTCCTTTTCTGACAATCTACATCACATTCACAGGCATTTCAAGAAAAGAGAAAGAAAGCCCGCATGGCTTTCAAGGAGTTTTAATTTTGCTTCTGGAAGCCATAAATTAGGCCCTTGAGGCAGCTGACTATGCACACTACTCTCACTTCAGCCTTCAAAGGTTACATTTAAAGCTATGCCTACTCATTAAAACAAGGAAAGTTTTAAAAAAAGTAAATATGAAAGATAAGATTAGTTATCTATTGATATTTATTCAGGCCATTCATTTCCCCCTTTGGTTTGAATACTGCAGATCCAGCTACCTAGGTGGAATAATCTTTTAAAAAGGGTCATTTTGGGGTTTTTTTTTTTGTTGCTTTTTAAATGTCTTCCTGGAAGCGGCCCTCCCCTTTTTGTGTGGGGCTCTTCACACCAAACCATTCCTTATCACCCTTCTGCCAATATGGGTGGGTGGGTGAGTGGCCCAATTGGAGAGAACATACAGAGGAAAAGAGAGGGGTAGAAATTCAACTACCAGAATCAGCCACTGAACCGTTTTGAATGTTTTTTTTCACTCGGGGCTTTTTTTAATTGTGACTCAACTTTTTTTCTTTCTACAGTAATCGACAAACCTCTCCCTTGCCCAGCCCGATAGAAAGGGACCTATTCATAGGCTGCTTTGCCTTTTACGGAGAAGGACACCATTAAACTATCCTGGACAAGCAAGCCGGCCGTTTTCAGAGTCGCAACCTCTGCAGGCAGTTCAGTGCAAGAGACTGGAAGCCTCCGATCCCACATCTTTGGCGGGGGGGGGGGGGGTTTCCTCGCTTTTTAGGGTTAAACGCCCCCGCCCCGCCTTCCTTCCTTCCTCCCAAAGAGAGCGAGGGACCCGGGCCCACACATGGCAGAGACAAGGGACACCGTCATAAGCTGGAACTCGGAGTCGCCCTCCCTCCCCCCCCCCCTCCCCCCCGCCCCCCCCCCAAAACCCCCCCCCCCCCCCCCCCCCGCGCGACTGCGGCTTCCTCACCTTTGGTGCCTTGTCCCTTCGGTCTCTGGAGCGGACACGAGGAGGCGGCGGCGGCCAGAGCGAGGCAGGAAGGGGAAGAGGGAGAGAAGCCATAAGTCATGCGGCGGCAAAGAACAGGCCCGTCCGGGCAAAGGAGGGAGGGGAGAAAGAAGCCGAGCCCCAACCTAGGCCGCTCCGACCTGCCGGCGGGAGACGGAGGAGGAGGAGGGCCAGGCCCGGCGGGGGTTCGTTTGCGAAGGGAGGGTACGCGAGGTAAGTGGAGGCGCGAGCCTTTCTCCGTCCGTTTGGCCGCCCCCCTTTCCTTCCCCCGGCTAGGCCTGAAGCCGGGGCCTTTCCCAGCGTAGCGCCCCTCACGCTTGGGGCGCCGCTCTCTCTCTCTCTCTCCTACCGCCAGGCGGCTTACCTGCTCCAGGAGGCTGCTGGCCGACATGGCTCTCCGTTAAGCGGCGGGGTTCCGAGGCGAGCTGCGCGGCGAGGTGTGGGGCGGGAGTGGCGGCAACGGCGGCGGCTTTGTCCGGGGAAGGAGGAGCAGCAGCAGACACACCGCGCGGATCGCTCTCGGCTTCCTGGCGGACTCTGACTGGCTCGCCCCGCCCGCGGCTCCGCCCGCCCGCCTCGCTCTTGCGTCGGCGCTCTAGCCGCTCGACGGCTGCCCACAGCTCGCGCTCTATGGTGCTCGCCCGCCCGATCGCGCGCGCGCTCGGCCGCGGAGGCGGAAGGCGGGGGGGGGAGACGAGGTGGGGGGCGAATGGGCGAGCGCGGCAAGCAGGATGGCTCGTCTCGCCTCACCAAGCGACGGTCACGCGGCCGAAAGGCGAGAGGAGAGGCGCGCGCGCTCTTAAGGGAGCAGGCGCGAAGCCAGGCGGAAAAAAAAGGGGGGGGGGGGGGGGGGAAGAGAGGGAGGCGGTGGCGGCAGCCTGGAGCAGCATTGGTGGGAGAAAAGCACGACGGGTAAAATGGCTGATGGCGCTTGTTTGTAAAAAGGGTGTCGGCAGCGCCCCCTTTGGGGAAGTTTGGAAAGGCAGGCAGGGAAATGCCCTGGAGAAAGAAGTGGCGAACGGTGCGAGCGGTCTTTCCACGTGTACATATATATTACACGAGTTGTATGAATCTGGTGTGGACGAGGAATCGAGAGTTACTGACCGCGGCGATAAGGACTGTCCCTTTCCGCTGGGCTTGCATCAGTGAACCTTTAATTCCTAACTAGCGTCTCTAAATCATCCCTACCTGAAGTGGGGAAGGCAGGGAAAGGGAACGTTGGCCTGGAGTAGAGTTTGACGTTTATGTTAAGCTCAAAGTGTAAGTTGCAGCTTTCTCCTTCCTCTTTTGCTGACTTCAGCGTCGAGCCTACAATCTGGGAATTCTCTGGTGACCCCAGATCCAGGTATAAACCAGGAAGAAACTGATTAAACCAGGAAGAAACTGGCTTGCCTGTTCAGCTTTCTAGATCTGCCAAAGCTGGCTGATGATTACTTATGCATAATATGCTGAGCCATGATGGGCTTGTTTTGTTTTGTTTTGTTTTGTCATGTTATGGGTCACTGTGATTTGTAAAATATTGTTGGATTGGTACATGCTTTGTATGGTCTCTTGCTTGAACAGGGGGTTTGGACTATAAGGCCTCCCAAGGTCCCTTCCAACTCTGTTATTTCCTTTTATTTTCTCCACAAGATGCTTGTGATAAACTGGGTTGAGAGTGGGTGCCCTCAAAGTCACCCAGTGTTGCTTGTGACTGATGGCATACTTGAATCTGGGTCTGATCCTACACACCATCACAAATCACACTGGCAGTTATTTGCTTTAGGTGCGCGATCCTTTTGAGTGCCTGAGTGTATAAAGCTGGTATATGAAAACGTGGACCTATTGAGCCAAGTAGACACATCTTATTATTAAATCCTGTTAGTTTACTACATGTACTGTGCTATGAACAGTGTATTGAAAAGTTATACTTAAATCATCTAAATTGTTTCTGAGTTGTTACACATATCATTTTTAGTAAACAAAACTTTGTTGAGAAAAAAAAAATGTTTAGTGACCTTTCTTTGAACTGAAATAGACTGCTGAGTTTACAGCCCAGAGCAGACACTTTTATTAATTGTGATAACTAAAGAATTATGGACCAGCTTTGGACAAGTGAAAAGTTCTGGTTCTCAAGGATGGTATGCAAATTTCTGCCATTTTTCATCTGCACAAGAACTGTGATCAGATCCATACACTCTGCTTAACCATATTTTAATCATGCATTGTTAAATAACCCACATTTGGTAGAGTTCAAGCCTTGTACTAAAGCAAAAAGAGATCAAATTTAGCCTCAACACAATGGGTTAAAGATCTTGAGACACTAAATCCTTTTCTTCTCTGCTTTTGATAATGAAGACTGAAGCTGCAATATGCTGTACCACTTTCTTCAGCTTTAGAAAGTGAATGTGCGAAAAGGGCACATGCACTTCACACAAAAAAGGGAAGATAGATGGTGTAGAACAGTATTTTTCAACCTGGGAACTTTTAAGACATGTGGACTTCAACTCCTAGAATTCCCCAGCCAGGAGCAAACACTGTTGTAGTCAAACCAGTGACCATCCTCTTGTCAAGAGATGCCATTTCAACATTTGGTAGGAGTTCCCCTTTGTTTTTCTTGTATATATGTGATCTCAACTTTCCAAAGAAATGGAGGGAAATGATTTCGCTTTGATGTGATCAAAAGTAGGCTGACTTCGCTGGTTCTCTTTACTATCTATATTCTTTTTTTAAAAAAATATAGTGAGTCTATTTATATTTCACTGACTTCTGACTGATTTTAATGACCCAAAGGAGAATATGCATACCGGTAGTCCTCAACTTACAAACACGATTGAGCCCAAAATTTCCATTGCTAAGCAAGACCATTGTTACCTGAGTTGCCCCCCATTTTATGACCTTTTTGCCACAGTTGTTAAGTGATTCGCCGTGGTTGTTAAGCAATTCTGGCTACTTCCCTCCCCCATCGACTTCGCTCGTTGGAAGCCAGCTAGGCAGGTCGCAAATGGTGACCACGAAACCCTGGGACGTGCCCAGCCCTTCTTCTTGTGCCATATCCTTTGATGATCATGTTGGCAATCTTATTTTTATCAACAGCCGCAATGAAAAAGTGATGCCGATTTTTGACCAAACCAGTCCCTTAGATTTTGAAGCCATGATGTTCTTCATTTGCCTTCAAATGAGCCCAGCCCTGCTGATTTCTTTTCTGCAGGGAGAACGGTGGCATAGACGCTGTAATTGCCGATGGATGCAGCCAGACAGATTTCCTTTTGCAAGACCATTCATTTGGAGAAGTGGGGAGTTTTTTTGTGGCTTTAGGCCCTTCCCTTTAGTGCTCAGTCCAACATGTTCTCGTCATATTTACCCTTCTTTGAATTCTGATCTCCGAGCAGGCCCTTTTGGTAACCTTTAGCCATTCCAAAGTGGAATGGTCATTTAGCCATTCCAAAGGGGGCCCACCCAAGCCCCTCCGTGAGGATAAAAACAGAGAAGTGAATGAGGATAAAAACAGAGAAGTGAATGGAGACCGTGTCAACATAAGGAGCAGTCCTCTTACGCTTTTGTTTTTCCTTATCTTTTAATGCAAAGAAAAACTAAACAAAACAAATGGCACTCCCCCATAGGGCGTTTTTTTTTTTTTAACTGTTTTAAAAACAATTCAACTGGTTTACTCTTCAAGTCTTCCAACTCTGAATTCTAACTTCTTAAAATATGGAGAGGGAGACCATAAGCACTGTGTTACGGCCAGTAAGGAGGCTAGAGAAGGGAATCCTTTTTTTTCCCCCACTCCTTTCTCTTCCCTTAAGGAAGATACTCAAAACAATCCACACACACACACCCAGCTCGACAGACAGGGAGACCAGACAGCCGCATTGCCAAAGGGATGTGCCATCCAGACTCCTGTAATCTGTTTTCCCCCCCCAAAAAAATTATGAACATCAAACATACACACACAGAAGACACACGCACACCTAAGCCAGCATGTTATGGTTTCCCAGAGTGCCAAGTAAACGGCAGGCATGCCCTATTTGCTGAGCCCAATTCTCCCGCCACGTATACAGACATCCAGGTTATCGGTTCTGTACTTGCGAGAGTGGGTGGTCGTTGGGTGCCGCATCTGCCGCATCTGCCGTTATCAGTTCCTAGTTTCTCCCTGTATGTGCCTGCGTGGGCATAAAGCATAAGCATTTCCTAGAAGTCTTGTAACAACCGAGGGAAAAGAAAAACTGCTGGAGAAAGTACAAAAACGAAAAGCCAAGGATCCAATTTTTGAAGCCACAAATGGGCAAATAGCTTAAGGAAAATATTAAAACAAAAAAAAACACAGTACATTCCAAAGAAGGGCTGGTGACCTGATCAATCAGAGTGCTTTGTTTTCTTCTGCCACATCCAAAAATGCAAAATGCTGGGAGAGTCAGAAATGGACATGGAATCTCCCTTCCCAGGGTGAAGAAGAGCTCAAGGTCCAGACGGAAGCTCTTGCTTTAAGGTCATTACTCATCCAGTCATTACATTTCCAGGAGCCGGCTTTGTTTCTGAGACGGACAATCCAAGAAGGATCGCTTCAAATCTGGGTCTACGGACTTGCCACCCCTCCTCCCCGAGGGAATAACAGCAATGGCTTGTTTCCCCTTTCACTAGGCAGGAAAAGTTCCGACCTCTCCCTTTTCCCAACAAACCATCATCCACACACATCCGCAGCCTGCCTGCTCTTTCCCCACTAGAGAAAAATGACTGCTTAAAAATGATCACCAGCATTCGTGTGAACTTACCTGCAACAAGGCTGTAAAAAGAAAAAAAAGAAAAAGGGGATCAAACCAATAAAAAAGGTAAGAGGTGAACAATCATTTAGCAAGGCAGGATGGCTTGTTTGACTAGTCCTCCAAGACTACGATCTCCACATTATGGACCTGGTGCTGATGTTCATCAACCTCAGCCACCACCTTCTCCTCAGTCCTCAATTCTGTCCCCAAAATCACAGCTTTCCCCCCTGATTCTTCAGGATCGGCTTCTGGATCAGGCGCTGGGTCTATTTCTATGATTGTCTGTCCGTCCTCCGAAGTGCCTTCGACAGCCTGGATGGTAGAAGTCAGGCCAGACTCCATGGCCACCAGTTCCACAGGATTCACCACGGTGGCCACGTTAGCAAGGGTCCCACTGTCCTGCATCGCTGCTGAGCTCAGCAGGGCTAAGCTTGAGGAGGGGTGAAGTGTCACTGTATCAGACGTGCTGGTTTTGGAGGAAGAAACCACGGTGGCATAGCGGAAGAGCTGGGAACCTGAGGGCAATGTGTGGACAGTCACTGGGCTGGAGCCCTGGCTGATTGTGGCCATTGGAATGTTGCTAAGGGAAAACTGCTGTCCCATGGGTGCGATAGTGATGGGCGAGATGACGGTGAATTGAGGTTGCTGGATGGGAGCCGAGGGGCTTAGAACTGTGGCTGAAGCTGGACGTTTCAACCGGGGCCTTTTGGGAGGCTTTGGAGTGTTGACTGGCATCAGGACCACATTCTGAATGGATGGGCTCCTGGCAAACTTCTTCTGCTCTTCTAGTTGGTGATCTAGTGCTGGGAGAAGGATTTATGGCATAGGCTAGTCAAGGAAACGCTTTGGAAATTGTCACACAAGCAGCACAAAAAACAAGAGGAGGTAGGAAAACTATTTCTAGGTATGTCATCCAGTCATTTCTCCTGTGCCAAAAGAACAGAACAATGGACAGGAATAGCAATAGCACTTAAAGACTTATATACCGCCTCACGGTGTTTCACAGCCCTCTCTAAGCAGTTTACAGAATCAGCTTCTTGCTCCCAACAATCTGGGTCCTCAGTTGACCCACCTCGGAACAGTAGGCAGAGTTAGCCTGAAATTCTGATTCTATCCACTGCGCCACCATGGCTTCCTTCCTTCCTTCCTTCCTTCCTAAGCAATAGCAGACTTATATGCTGCTTCCCAGGGCTTCCCAGCCCTCTCTAAGCGGTTTACAGCCTATTGCCCCCCCAACAATCTGGGTCCTCATTTTACCCACCTCGGAAGGCTGGAAGGCTGAGTCAACCTTGAACCTGGTGAGATTTGAACTGCCAAACTGCAGGCAGCTAGCAGAAGTAGCCTGCAGCACTGCACTCTAACCACTGCACCATGGCTGTCTCATGAGGATAATTCCAATTATTTAGAGAACAAAAAAAAAAAAAAACCCTGGGATGGAGAGGAGAAACTAATTTACCTCTCCAAGTGCTGCTTAACCCCATCTCAGAGCTGCAGACAACAGCAGCTTTAAAATTAAAACAGCACCATATGCAAGTTTTCAAACCTCCAACGTATACAAAAACTACCAAAAATATTACAGCAAAAATGCTGGTCAGAATATAGCTAATGCCTCTTGGAAAAAGATAAAAGTGTTTATTGTTCCAAAGGTGCTTTTCCAAAAGGCAATCAGACTTTCTTGAGGGTTTTTTTTTTCCCCTTGAAAATATTTTGCTTCTTATCCAAGAAGCTTCTTCAGAACGGATGAGTTCTTTTTGAAGCAAAACATTTTCAAGGAAAAAAAAACAAGAAAGTCCAGTTGCCTTTGGTAAAAGCACCTTTGAGACAACCATCATCTGGATGATTGAGAATCGCCACAGACATAAAAGTGTATTCAATGTGACTAATATCATACTTTTGGTAATTGCAAGGAATTTTTTGTATATAAGAAATAGAAGAGAAAGAGGAGGATAGGAAGGAGGAGGAGGAGGTATGTTGTAAAAAAAATGCTTAATTTAGGACCAACTGACCATCAGCTGCAGGAGTACAATGTACGTGCTTTAGTCTTAATAACATCTGGAAGGTTTAGCCTCCTCATCAAAAAAGCAAATTTGAGGGAATATGAATGTACTTCAGCAACCAAGCAACCCAGGCACATTTCTTGCACAATTAATTGATGAGCTAAGAAAGTTCCCATTTCAAAATTACCTTCAAGAGTGTTAAGAAATTGCTCCTCTCCCTGATCTGTTTGACTCTTCCTGTTATCCAGCACTCTTTTCACTGTGTCCATCAGGCCAAAAGTGTGAGCGACATTATTTAGAACAGCAGCATCTACAGGAAGACATTCACAGATATTGACTAATGTTCTAAATGGGATCCCAACTCCCAGGCAGAAAGACCTGAGCTATTCCTTGTTTGCCCATGCAGGGTTACTTAACACTTTGGTAGCACTTGCTGTCTTGATTTTGCAAGGTTCGCCTACAACAGCCATGGAAACTGACACTAAGAAGAGAATATTTTAACAATTGGAAGAAAAAAAAGATAAAGCAAATACTTATAATAATACTATTTCCCTGACTTTTTAGCAACCTACTTGCTCAAGAATTCCAAAGCAGGAATAATTCTACCCAATTTAGTTTGCAAACAGTGTAGGTGAGACCACATTTCAGAAATTTTATAGTCAACAAGTGCCTAATGTATTATTATGTAAATTGCAATGAGAAGTTTTGCAGAAAATCACAAATATGCAACATCCTGAAGTACATTTTTCCTCTTCAGCCTCAGGGGTAGACTCTCCTGGTATCACTATTGATATATTTTCAGCATCAGGTAGACCTCTTTCCTCTTCTCCCTCCTCCTCCTCCTCCTCCTCCTCCTCCTCCTCCTCCTTATTATTATTATTATTATTATTATTATTATTATTATTATTATTATTATTATTTCCATTGTCATCTGGCCATTCTAGTATGCTTTATGAGGGGTCCTTGGTGCTCTCTGAGCTTGTTTTCTTGCAGACGTTTCATTACCCAAACTACCCTAGCACTGATGATGTTACCTAGTTTGGGTTTTTCTGCAAGAAAACAAGCAAGTTCAGAAAGCACCAAGGACCCTTCATTTCAACCCTGAGCTGCAGATATTCTCCT